GTTTGGCACCACCTGTTATGAGATTTCGTTTATAAACTTTTCATATTTTTAATTATTATAAAATGGCAAAAGGTTTAATTTGACAATGACTACAGCAAAAAGTACTTCAAACTTAAATGTAGAATGAAATTTTTCTGTTGTGTTAAAGATTTTATTGGGCTGCAATTTTCAAATTGAAGACTTATAAATTCCCACAGGCATATGTCTAGTTGTCTGTCCTTCCTTAATCTAAGAGCTGACAGATAGATGAAAGTCAAGACCAGAAATGGAAAGCTTAGAGACAGGAGACCCCGATTAACTATATAAACTTCCAGTTTGGACCAGAAGTTGTTATTTCAATTTAAAAATTTTCTCCAGAACAGAGTTAGATAGATGACACATACTGTCAACATATTGCATAGTTTTTCACGGTCAAGTACTAAGTTTGTATGGGTAATTCATAATTCTTATAAATAAAAATCTGCAAATTATAAATTTATATCAACACTATGTTAAAACATTTTATCTTAATTAATACAATAACAGCATAATTATATGGAATATTGCATTTGTTACTAGAAGGTTTAGTAAAAAGAAAAATAATTTTGATGAAAATCTCACTAAATGATCAATTATAAGCTGACTCATTTTACATTTGTTAAATTTCCATGAGATTGCATAAATATTTATAGATAAACCAACTTAATTTGAAAATAACAAATATAAAAATATATGTCCAACCATTTTGTAATTTATCCTATGTAATGGCTTACGCATATCATAATAAAGGATAAACGTATGGGGGAAAAGTTTAATTTCCTTTTGATCTATGCATCTCCTTGTCTGGGTGTAATAAGTCAGATATTAAGTGGTGGTCACAATACATATAAAGTATTTTTGATACACTCAAATTTAATTGTTCTGGAATAAAAAAAAAATCTAAAATCATAAATTTTTTATTGTATCCAAAATTTATATTTCAAGGATATAATTACTACCTTAATTTTATATAAAGATACCTGAATGGACTTGAAAAATTAATTTATTTGAACCTATGTCAAATATTTTTTATATAAACTTGCTTTATACAAAAAAAGGACTTATTTAATACAAAAATAACTTTACTTTTCAAATATTAATTAAAAAGCCTTTTAAATAATAATTTTAAAAACTTCTGCGAATCAAAGAAGTACATTTACACTCACGCATATTTCAGTTCCTTTCTGACTCACAACATAGAGGGAAGGATATCACTCCAATTACTCAATTATGATTAAAGCAAACTAAGAATAATTAAAGATCACCAATTATACTAGTACAATAAACATTGAAGTACAAATTATTACACTTAATCATCTAGGAATAATTAGTAATTATCATCTGTATCATATTATGCTTAATATTAAAATATAAAATACTTCTGTTTCTTTTTAGTTTATGTTAAATAACTCAGTTGATACTGACATAAAGCATTGAATTTTTGCCAAAATGTGTTTCATAAGTGGTTCTCAGCCAGGTGATCCCCAAGCATTTCTGTATATATACAGAAAAGCTTCTAAAAATATATCATAACGGTTTTAAATTATTGAAAAAAATTACAAAATTCTTCTTTTACGTTTTTATGGTGGATTTCAGTAGCTGAAATAAATCATCTGATACATAAAAGGATATAATTGATCTTGAACAAATCTTAAAGTATTATTAGCAATATGAATCACATCCTTCCAGTTAATTTACGGAAGATAAATGCAAGTAAAATGAGTTAATAAAAGAAAAGATGCTCCTTACATTTTTCTCAACTTGTTCTCTGACTTGATCGAGATCGCCGTTTTTCAAGCTCCATAAAAAGTCGCTCATTTTTTACCTTTGGTGTCAATGAACGAAACACGAGACTTTCTGTTGACTAATTATCCACCGCAATTGCTTCAATTATTGAAGTTTTAACAGGAAAGACATACAATTGCAAAACTTTTCACTAGTTACACACAGCCAATAACCTACCTACACGCCCCCTGTTCGTTATAGAAAAAAACAGTACATACAATTATAAAATTTTTAGTTTGATTTTTATAATTATTATTAAAATTTTAATTCGATGAATATTTTTAATGTTTATTTTTTATTAGAAATATTAATAATACTTATAAAATCAAATTTATTACTGCTTAATAAACGAATAAGTTTTCGGATTTTTCATTCCCCGACACATTCAATTTGGAGTTATTAGACAGAAATTCGCGGATCGCTGCGAAACGAATTTAATCTTCACCTTATAATTTTATTGGTATTCNTATAAAGAGAATACAGTTTAATCTATTTGCTGTAATCACTTTGGAACTCATCTATACTAATAACAACCAACTAACAATTTTACTTGATTAAGGAAGATATCACAATTTAATAAAATTGAAATTTATTTTAGTTCTATTACTAAAACTTAACAAACTACATAAAAAATTGATTAATAATCTATAAATATCACATGGTTAACACAATTTGTAATTTTTATCTGATGATTTAAAAAAAAACATTTAATCATAATAAATAGCACATTTTAAACTTTATTAGCAACTTTGTTTCTTAAGTCTAAATGTTAATGATGGAGTCAGTACAGTAGTATCAAAGAAATGATAATTAAATAATAGTCTAAACCAGGGACGGCCAACAGTTTTTGCCCCTGGGCCAAATTGGAAAGAAAACTTTTTTCACAGGCCAAACCAGAGGCTGCCCTAGGAAGATTTTCAGGTGGTGTGAGATCTCATTGTGGTGTCACTCCATAGGGACTAAATTGTACATAGAGATTACAGATACATTTTTCACATTATCATGCTTTATCAACACTCTACGCTGTACATATGAGATTTGTAATGGAGGGTTAACTCTAAACACAGTGAGTTGTTGACCATATTTTTTTTGTAGGCATCAGAATTTTTCATCGAGCTATTTGGACTTGAGTAGCTAATATTGAAATCATGGGCCGCATAAATTCATTTGGTGAGCTGGATCCAGCCCGCGGGCCATATATTGACCATGCCTGGTCTAAACTATAAAAATTTATAAAATGCAAAAATAACCAGAAATTAATAAAAACTAAGTGGCAACATACCATTCTAATTAAATTAAGTTTTATTATTATTTTTTAATTATATAAGTTTCTATTTGTAAAACAAAAACTCCAAAGTCATTGGACAATTTCACTAATTTTTTATATTTAAATATTTTTCTATATAGTTTCTTTTATCTAAATATATAAAATTACTTGTCCTGACTGACTGACTGAGTGATTGATTCATCATCACCCAGAGCAAACTGCTGAATGTAGAGGTGAAATTTTGTACACAGTTAGGTTACATCATGAAAACACACACTAAGAAGGAATTTTTGGAAATTCCCTCTGCGGGGCAGAGGGAGAGGATTAAGGCTTAACCTGAAGAACAGCTTCTACTGTACTATTTTAGATGCAATTGTTTAGTTTTCATTGAGTACTTAGGTGTATTAAATTGATAACATTTCAGAC